TATAATAAATTTTCTTTTATTTAAATAGAAAAACTAAAGTAAATTTTAAAATGTGGAATCAGAGTCGACACATTTTTTCGACTCTGACTCCTGTGGCCAGAAATTCCTCCTGACTTTGGCTCCATAGCCCTAGGGCCACATCACACACACAAATTTTCTTAAAATTATAATTTGAAGTGAGAATGAAGGAATATAGATTGGGCAATTAAAATAAATTATGTAATTCAGTGAATTCAACTCAACAATGTATAATTGTTACACTATTGCTTTTATTTAAATATTTATTTTATGTACATATTTATAAAACTAAAATTTAATTGTTTTCACTGGAAACTTGCCAGTGCTATCTTCCTTCTCCCTAGTTTTCCAATATCTGGATTCAAAGACTGAGAACAATCTTCATTATGGCAGATAGATGTTTATCAGTTAATCTTGATCTGTAAGCTGTTTTATTTAATTTCAGAAAAATTACTTCAGGGGCTGCCAGTTGACACCCCTGCTCTATACAACCAATAACCAATGTGAAGTATGGTTAAGTTTTTATAAACCTTTCTGGGTTCTTCCTGAGATTTTCTTAATTCTAAATAAGTTTGATCTTTCAAAATCATTCATGAATACAAAATTCAAACATAAAATCAAAGAGTAAGAGGATGAGTTCGAATAAAGAGAACTTATGCACATGTGTTCCCGTGCCATTTTTAAATAAGATTGAATATTAAATATTGTTGTCAAATAAAGTATGTCATGCCATTGAAAGATACATCGCCCTAAAATTAATGCACATGGACTAATTAAATGCATGTGATAATTAAATATATGTCATTCTTTTTAAGACTAAAATGCAATGCTTAATAACAAAACTATTTGAAATATGGTTTGTAGGTTATGCTTTATATATAAATGAATTTTTCCTAATTTTTAAACATTGCTTTTAATTCTAAATATAAATTATGAATCTTCAAGTATTATAATCCAAATGCATTATTAGAGAATCAACTGGAAATAGTAAGTACTTACAAACCTTTGGTCACAGAAGTACTCAACTGGGAGATTGTGTTCAGGACTTACTGTATAGTAATTTTTAATTGGATTATCCTGTAGTGTTTTCATAATCTTTATGGTTCCTCTGTAGTTTGGCTGATCAGTGGCCAAGCTAGATCAAAATGCTGAACACTGATAGTTGGTTTGGGGTTCACACCTTACCAACAGGCTCACTAATTTAAAAATAAGATGTGTGAGTGTAGCATTGGCTTCTTGGGTTTTTTAAAACTTTTTTGCTCTGTGGACATTGAGATTTATTTTAGAAAGCCCATTATGGGTTAGGCCAGGCCCACAATGGTGCAACCAAGTGCATGGATGGGCCCAACATATCCAAGATGGACTACTACACAAAAAATTCTTGGTGTTTTTTGACCCACCTGGATTTAATTCCAGTTCCCTAGAGATTGACTGGAAATGTTTACTGAACCACCTGATATTTTCTTATTAACCCTTAACCTATCCTATGTTGTTCCCAAAAATATTTGTATTGACCTCATTGACTTGCGTGGGCAATCCCGAATATATTCGTGTTTACATCGGAACGTTTTTTATACTAAATGTTGCCGTGTCNACACGTGGTCCCTATGATTGATACAAGTAGTTTTCCCTTGGGCTTTATAAATCTCCAGTTTTTCGAGATGTTTGATGGAGTGCTTGTTAGACGTGGGTCTAATGATGGAAGCTTGGTCCCATATGACTTCAATTCCTTGCTGGTTGGCGTAAGATGCTAAAACAGTGCTATCGTTGTTCTTTCTAATAGAATATTTATGTTCTTTGATTCTTTGTTCTAAGCTTCTCAAAGTAGCATTTACATAAACACTATCTGAATCAAAGCGATGGTCTTTGGTATGGAGTAAATACCGGAGGTAGCGATCTGGTTGTCATTCTTTTTATCATTTCTCAGTAACTTGTATATTGTGGGATTGCAGCGATATACGATCCGTAAATTATTGATGTTTGCAATATCCTTCATCATTTTTCTTAAGAAGGGATGATAGTTGATTACCGCCATGCATTGATTGTTAATTAATGGAGACTGATTAGTTTTAAACTGAAAGGTTGCGATGAGTTTTTTATGAGATTCTTTTGGTAACCATTTTGTTGTGCTATTTGTATAATGTACTCTAATTCCCTGTAAGTATCAAGTATATCTGTGCAATGAGTAAAGGCTCGTTTGATCCACGATCGGAAAGCTGCATATTTAAAGTGTCTAGGATCCATTGAATTATATGGTATGNCACTTCAATAAATAGAATTGAAACGACACTTTGAAATGTTTTTCCGATGAAAATGAATAATAATAAGTTTCAATAAAAATGATAAAATGTAAATTGAATTTTATCATAACGAGTTTGCTTGAATTTCCTTTATTCTGAGATTGCAGCAATGCACGACAGGTAAGCTAGTTATAAATAAAATAAAATAAACTTACTTGGTGAAATAAAATGTGTGGTGGATATACATACCTGATACAAAATATTCTTCAATTGTATGAATATACTTTTAAAGAAAATATAATTAAATATAGCTTTGTAAAGAAACATACATAAAATTAACATAAATTATTCTTTACTTTTTAAATCTTAAAACAAATCACTTAGTCAAATAGTGCTATGATGGCTAATGGATGGAATCGTAGACGGTACCAGTAGGTGTGCGGTGCGTGCATGCAAAATCCTGAGGGTGCCGATACCAGTCAATATCAAATGTCTCTTTTGTTGCATCAATAGTATATCTCAAAGGAGGCAACGGGGTGGTTGTAAATTTTAGACATGTTATGTTAAATATGTTAAATTTAATAGATTGTCTGTTGTTTGTTTCCTAACTAATTTGTTTTAGGACCAGCTGTCTATGGAAATTTCTAAAATTTACAACTTTTTGGTCACTCTTATTGAACTGGAAAAATTTCTGTCATTATTATCTAATATTACAAAGAAATCAGTCCCCTCTGTACTCGGCTAGAGATTGGTTAGGTTAAGCTTTTGTTTAAGTAAAATTTCACCTCTTTCGGCAGGGTTTTATTTATGTCCCTAATTCCCTAATCTTTTACTTATTAAACTACATCTTAAGTAGAAATAAGTCAAAACTGGTTACTTTTTACTTGAATATTTGTAGTCTTGGGAAAGTAATGGTAAGACAAATTTCAATGACAAAGGATACATAAATCATAAATTTAAGGAAAATAAATTCTAGAGGTTTTTGTATCTTGTGTCTTTCATTCATTACATTTAGTTGTAAATGATGCTACCAAAGTAACAGTTCATTCTTTTAACATTGTACAAGAATTGTACACATTTTTTCCTGCATCCACTTATAGATGGGACATACTAAATCGTAATATCACTGGTGTAATGTTTAAATCTGTAAGTAGTACAAGATGGAGAGCAGAATAAAAGCAGAATAAATATCAAATATTTTAATGGATTTTTTTAAACTCCTGTCAACTATACAGAACTATCATAAAAACATAACCCATCGATAGGAGTTTACTGGTATGTTATAAATCTACTCGTGATTTATTCATTTCACCACTGATATTTGAATATATAATAGCAATCTTGTCGTTTTTTCACATGTAGTATAGAAATTTGTAATAAGATGCATTCAAATATAAATACATATTGTGTGATTATTTTCTAAAATATGGACAAGGATGGCACACCACTGCTATTTTTAATGTAATATATTTTTGGATTGCAATTTGAAAAAAGTGTAAACCTATAAATTTCCACTGTTGTTTGTCCATCTGCCTTTCCTTAACCTCAAGAATGGAGTTAGGTGAAAGATGAGACCAGATATAGAAACTTTAGGGGCAGGAGGCCTGATTAACTATATAACAACTTACGATGCAAACTGGAAGTCATGTTATTTCAATTCAAAAATTTCCCTGAAAGGTGTTAAATAGATGAATGGCAGGAATATTGTTCAAGGAAAAGTATGATGTTCAGGTGCAAGCCACTACTAATTTGAAGTGGAGAGCATATATTTTAAATTAAATAAATTTAAAATATAATTAAAAATTGCACTTTGGCATTGTGTGACAATGTCACAATAAATAATTGCTGATTGCATTTATAGTTATGACATAATAGGCAAATGCGTTGTATAATCTACAGCAGTGCCATTACTAGATCTGAAGTTAAGATTTGTCAAGGAATTTATTTCTTGAGATTACCTAGTTCAGATACATATAATATTATATATATAATCACACAATCAGCAGACATTTCAGTTTTAGCAATAATTCAAACAAACATGTACTTAAAGTCTTCATTAAAGTTTTGAATGTGACATATATTGCATATATGTTTAAGCTATAAGGTTGGAATTGGTGACCTTATATCTTTATTAGATATATAGTCTGAAAATTAAAAAAATTAAACTTGCTGATAACAAATTTAATGTTCACAAAAACTAAAGTAGTTAGTCCAATAAAAGAAACTTGCTAATTATGAAGTTTAATTAACACTAACTCTAAGTGATGCAACATACATGTAGGAAAAACTTAATTTTGAACAAAATTTGTAATGGTAATTATTTTGAATAAGAAGTAAAAGATGTTTAATAGCTTTTATCCAATACGAAATGCTTCTTATTAACTTCTAACTTAAATCTCTCTTACAAGAAAAACAATCACAGAATATAATGACCCAAAAATAACATTTGAATTCATTTCTTTACCATGCATCATTTATTAAATTTAGTTAACACATTTTATGTTTACATATTCTTTTTTCATTGCTCTTATTTTGTGTTTCAGTATTGGACTCATGCAGCTGTTTTGTGTAGAATGTCTAATTCACCATAATTTAACTCTGTATTTTCACATATTCTTAACTTGAATAACTGTTAATTATTGAAATAATATCAAGAAAAATCATCTTTTTAAATATTAAATTTATATTTTAGAAAATTAAGCCCTTTTATTTATTATTGTAATTTCTTGTTTTCTCTTGTAGCTTTTATCTTACCAGTATCTATGATCATTCTATATTTGAAGCTTTCAGCAAAGTTGTACAGAAACTTATTCCTCAGCTTCCGGCTTTAGAAAATCTTCTCAACCTATTTATTTCGGTAAATAAAAATTTCTTTCCAGTAAAAGCTTATATAAATAAATTTTAAATTGTTCTGTTTTCTCATTTACAGAATTCTGGAATAGAAAAGGCATTTCTATTTGATGTAGTTAGCAAAATTTATATCGCTACCGATAGTTCACCGGTCGACATGCAGTCGTACGAACTCTGCTGTGACATGATTGATGTAGTCATTGATATATCTTGTATTTATGGGTGAGCTTCATACAGATCTTTACAATAGAAAGCATTTGTAAAGATTAATGCACATTCAGTATTTTAATTTTACTTTTGTTTGAAACAATTTAACAGATTACCTGATGATGGAGAAGGTAGTCCATTTGATAACTGGTCTTCAAGTATTATTAAGCTTAACAATGGAACCGTTCTATACTTGAGGGAGGTGAACAGATTTCTTGCTTTGGTCTGTATTTTAAGAGAAGACAATTTTGATAGACAAGGTAATTTATAGATATTTTTTACTGTCATAAGAATTTGATCAAATCCTTTGTAAATTTGTACTGCATATGTATGAGTGAATTATTATTCATTTCATTTTATTTTTAAAATTGGCTAACATGCCACTAACACCACAGTACAGCAATTTATCATATACAGTGATACCTCAGTTTTTGTCAATAATCCATCCGAAAACAATCAGTGAAATTCAAAACCAACAAAAACCGAGGCAATTATTTCCATATGAATCAATGTAAATCCAAGTAATTTGTCCTAGACACTCCGAAATACATACCAAAACACATTTTATAGAGAATAAATATAGTGTTTATTACTAAAAACAATAAGGATTTAATATAAAATGAATATAAAACACTAATGTTATGAATAAATGAAGATTTAACATGGCATTTGAAGGGCTGCTGGTTCTGGAAACTTTCTTTGGTCTCATGATGGAGCTAAAAGGAAAGGAAAGCAATGGAATTATTTTGCTTTTTTTAAACTCTTTCTGCTCTGTGGGTGCTAAGAGGGCTTTTCTTAGCAAGCCCATTATGGGTTCGACCAGGCCCACAATCAGACGGTAGGGTGGTGAGGGATGTGGCCTAACATATCTGGATGGACCACCACCTGAAAAATTCTTGGGGATTTTTCAACCTGTTTGGATTTGATCCTGGTTTCCCAGAGCAGTTGGCTGCCACCTTGACTGCTCGGCCATCCGGCTGTCATAGAGGAGTTGTTTGACTAGATGCACAGGCTAATACTCACACAATGAGAAACAATGCCACACTGAGCAGGAAAATGCATTGCTCACCCTTTGTTTTTTGCAAAATTAGCTGCAAGGTCATATGGGCACGCCAACAAAATCCAAGGCAACCGACAAAATCCAAGACAAATTTTTCGCGAAATAAATCAACAGAAACCAAAGTCAACAAAAACTGAGGTATTACTGTACAGTATTTTGTAAGAATTAGTGTTATTTTGGTTTCAAAATAACATTTAATTAAAGTTACAAAAAGTAATAACAAAGTGAGACAATACCTCACTAGTATAAACAGAACTGCAGCAAAGGATAGCCAATTTAAATTACATGACTTAGAGTGCAATTATATGGGATGCATTTCTAGATCTCTCATGATCAGAATTAGAGAGTACAAAGTGCAGTCCATAAGTTTTAAGACTTAATATTTTCTAGGACAATAGTGGTGTATCCACCATGTGCCAATTAAGTAATAGCAACTTTTGTCTATTCATCTGAAGGATATTGGCAGTCTAAGTTCAGAAATTTGAGTTATAATGTCATGTGTAAACTGTGTCTTGCTGTGTCATCAATTCAAAAAGTGAACTAAGAATTATGATTAAATTTTGTTTTAAAGTGAGTCTTTCTGCTACGGAAACCCTAAAATTGGTACAAAATCATACTGGAATGAAGCTCTGAACCAGTTTATTTTCTTCAAATACTATTTATTGTCTCATGACAGAAGGGAATTGGTAGATGAGGGATGGCCACATCTACTCAAACAACAAATGTTGATGCTGTTGCCAAATTGAAGAATAAGTTGTCAAATAATATCATGGATGATAGCTGAGACTTTGAACGTCTTCAAAACGGTTTGCATTTTGAGTAAAGATTTGAGAAGAGGAAGGTTTGCTCATTTGTCTTACATGTCTTAACAGCTAAGCAGAGAGATAGTCATATTTTGTTAGGACATCATCATGACAATGAATGCAAAGAAAAGTTTTTTAACAAAATCATTACAACAGATTAAATTTGTTTTGCTTATGATTCTGAAGCCAAGCATCAGAATTCAGAATAGGTTAGTGATAGATCTTTGACCAAAGATACTGTAGTTTCAAAGGCATGCATTAAAAGAATGATTTATTTTCTTTTTTATTCTAAAGACACATTCACAAAATTTGTACAAGAAGAGTGAATGCAAAGTTTTATAAAGAAGTATTAGATCATTCCTTGAAACACACTACTTGTTGGTAAATTCATTGCTGCTGCAGTTCCAACCTGGCAGATCTTGGTGCAGTTGTTGGAATGTTTTGTGACTTATTTCATTTGAAACATTTTAAAAGTAATTCATTTTTACAATGTATGGATTTGTTTGGGAGGTAAAATTAATGATTTAAATTTAATATATGCAGCTTTTTACAACATAAAGTAGATGATAAAACATTTTAAATATACAAGGTTTGTCAAATCTTTTATTTCAGTAATGAGTATTTAATTTAAAAGAAAAATTAGTACAAACAGAATATTGATTCATGGTGATAAAAACTACAATTTTATTGTCACATCATATAAGAATTCAACTTTGCATATTTCCACCGTGGATACAGCCATCTTGTTGCAGTGAGAGAAGCAACTGAACCAAGACTGCAGATTTAACCTTGAATCAGTGAGACTGCTGCAAGGATCGAATCATGCAGTGCTTCAAGAAAATAAGTTTAGCAACACACTCAGTGGCATTACTGCGAGCAGTGTTTAGTTTAACAACCTGACAGTGTTTATTCTGCTGCATCCCATTCCAAAGATTTTTCTTATTGCATGATATTGCACCTGCTCACAAAGTACAAGAATGCAGCGACTTTTGACACACTTAAGTAATCCCATCTCTTTGTCATTCCTTTTATCATCAGATTTCTCCCTGCTGAGTTATTTTATATTTTCCAAGTTGAAATGGAAACTTCAAAAGAAATTGATTTGAAGATGTTTCCACCATGAAAAAGGTGATCAGGAAAAAGAGGAATTTTCTATTGCTTTACAAAAATTGTATGACTGCTCTGAAGTATGTGTGCATGCCAAAGAATTGATTAAGAAAATGGTCAGTTTTTATAATTATCCTAAAATTTATTGACAACACTGTGTGAATAGTGTTAAATGGGGTGACTATGCCACATCTATCATTGCATTCACTACTTGACCGGACAATGAAGTTTCTTAGGATGGAGCAATGATTATTACATATACAGTAATTATCAAGCTCTAGATAGATAATGATAAAAATATTTTGGTGTTACAGATGAAGACCATCATTACATAGCCTAATTTTTATATTTTATAAGTAATTTTATATAGATATATTCTTATATATATGCAAATGAGTTTTTCCTATATAATTTTTATTTTACATAAGCATTTTGTCATGGTATACACATTAATTTATAATTTTTTAAAAATTGAATGAGCATTCACTAAATTTAATCTAAGCATTCTAGAATGAAGCAGTAATTTAAAAAATTTTATTAAAAGCCTTTAACTATCTTAAGATATTACTGAAAGCACTTACAATGATATCTTATCTTTTTATTTTGTTTCATTTTCTCACTCATCTATTTCCACTTGCTATACTTGCTTAAACTATAGCTTAATTATCAGTGGAATAAATTTAACATTTGTCACTAACCTGAAGAAAAGGTAGGTTAGTCACACAAGCTACTTAGGCTTGCCAGGTAGCCAAAAAATTTTTTTATTGTGCACTTGCATTACCAAGAGCTTTATATGATCTTTTTAATTAAAAAATATTCTGTCAATATTAAATGATCTAAAGCAGGGGTGTCCAACCTGCGGCCCGAGGCAAGTTCCAATGCGTCCTAATAAACGTGTAAACAAAACAGACAAATTTTTTAATTTTATTTTTATTTATTCATTTCAATGGTATAAACTCGAAAAGAAGTTTCACAAAGCCATAAACCTTTATACATATTTTATTTTTGAGTGGAAAGGAAATGTTTTCAAATACTTGAAAATGTGTGAATGAGGAAGGAATACTAAATAAAGCTGGAGTTGTGACTCAAAGATTATAGTCCCAAATTCAGGGAAGAGAGAGAGGCCAAAAGATAAAAAGTAGTGAGAAAGGTTAAATAGACCTTCTGTTATGCAAATATTGGTCCTTAATTGAGCCCAACCTTCCTCACTTCATCTTTTGTCCTTGCATTTGGGTCTATAATCCTTTGAGTTCCAACTCCAGCTTTATTTATTATCCCTTCCAGTGGTTGCAAGAATTGGCTACTTTGCACTAAATTTGTCTATCCATTTTTTTTAGCTTGGCATAAAAAATATCATTTGGCACATTGGCTACTTTTTGGACTACATATTATTTTTAAATATATTAGTTGAAAAAAATGCACTTTAAAGTGAAGTTTTCTAATTTTTTATTAATTAGAGACCCAAATAAAACAAAAATTTCTGTTTCTCAAATACATTTTTGTTAATCAAAAAAATCACCTTTTTTTATAAATTCCAGCAAATAATTTAATATTATAAAAACGTTTTCGATCGTCTTTAGTGATCTTCATCAGTTGAAAGAACATTAAAAATAGAACAAAAATTAAATTTACGAAAAAATAATAACTGCGCATGCGTAATGATGAGCGCTTAACAGAATAAATACAAAAAGTTAGGGATATAAGACTAAAAGTAAATAAATACTGTACATAAATCTATATATATATAAAAATGGACATGTATGTCCCTATATTTCACTTTTTTGCAAAAACTACACATCGCACGTGAATGGTATTTGTATGTAGTGGTAGCCCCAAGTCTTCATTCGTGCATAGGGGTGGTTGCGTCTCGATAGCTATAACGGTGTGGGAGATATGAGGCTAAAAGTAGTTGAAAGTGGCTTTCTATTTCGAATGTTTTGTTCGAATTTGTTGAATTTGTTCGAATAAAATTTGAACATAAAATTCGAATATTGGTTCGATTATAGAACGATTGTAAACGTTCCATAAACGTTGAAAATAGTTGTTTGACTGGACATAAAAATTCTCTAATTAGTCTGAAAACGGGGGACCTAATTCTTGCATTCTGTGAAAACGGGTAAGATTAGCTATAACGTAATTATCTTAATCTTCACTATCGTTACTTTTTGCCCAGCGAAGCGGGTCCTTGCAGCTAGATTCTAGATTACTTAGAAAAACAGTCTTTTATATATATA